CCCCCCCCCCCCAGGAATATTCCTTGTACTCACTTCTGTTAGAGGTTGAGTCAACCTCAGGGCCATAGTGCGGCTGGATGGATTAGGTCAATTGAAAGATCCAATTATATCTACGAGAATCGAACCCACGAAGTTCTGGCTTGTAGCACAGTGCCTCAACCAACTACGCCACGTACAGTTCCAGTGTGCCGCCACGGATATCACAGAACAGAATGGTCATATTTTTCTGAGGCCTTCTCAAATTTATTTTTCCTTTTGTCTAGAATCCTGACAGAGTTCATCTTGTCAGCATGTCTCTCTACTGTCTTCCGGTTTGATGGTCTCGTTATTACAACCAGTATGTACTTACTTACTTACTTACTTACTTATGGAGCTGAGCCCTTCTTGAGGAGCCCCCAATATCCTGATCCAGATCAATCCTATCCATATCATCCCATCCTATATCTCTAAGATCCATTTTAATATTGTCCACCCACCTACGCCTTGGTCTACCCACTTGGTAGTTCGACAAATTTAAAACTTCCATTCGAACTGTTTTCTCCTTCATCAGCTACCCTATAGAGTATTATATTCCAAAAAAACTACAGTTAGACAAAAAGTAAATACTCTAAGAACCTAAAGATCAAAATATGGGCCCACAAGATTGTAACCCTATCTGCTGAGTCATAATGGTGTGAAACATGGTCCCTCACTGCAAAGGGAAAACATAAATTTGGGAGGTTTTGAGAGCAAAGTGCCACGAAGAATAAATGGATGTATGAAAGACAAACAAATGAAGAAAATTACACAGCAAAAAAAAAAAAAAACTTCATAATTTGCGCTTTAATTTAATATTGGCACAGTGATAAAATGAAAAGTTGCAGGTAACATATATGGAAATAATTTGAAATTTATGTTGAATTTTGGTCAGACACCCTCAAGAAAAATGACATAAATAAGAGGATAGTAGTGCAATGGAGAACTAGGATGTCCAAGCTAGTTGCAGATGGTTACAGTTAGTTCAGCATGTAGCCCAGCAGCGATGTTGTGTAAACATGGTACGTAAGGCGTCCGGATTCATGAAAGTAGGGAATTTCTTGAAAAGCTGAGCATCTCTGAGACCTTTCAATGAAAACGCTGCACAATCACGTCTCTTCAGCCAGTTGAACCACATGAGTGGCAGGTAATGGACGACATCCGCGTGTTCAGACACTCGACACAAGTTGCTCTGACAGAAATAACGGTCCCACAAAATCTCTGGAGGGCACAGTCCTGACAGATTTACTGCCTCCTCCACATGGACGTTTATCTTCCCGAGGGACTTTTATACACTCTTATCGCAGTTCACAGTACAACTCTAAAATCAACTTTTATTGCGTCCAGGCCCGGCAAGCTTCTGTTGTGTTACGCACCGCACCACAGATAAAAGCAGGCAGTATCCTTGGGACAATAAACCCTGCGGAAGGTTGAAGCACAGCCTCCACAACAATTACTAATACGTCCGCTAATTTACAATTACCGACTTTTTGGACATTATCCGTCGTCCTTACTCTATTTCAAACAACGTTTTGGAGATTGGACTCTGCCTCCGTCCTACAGAGCAAACATAAGGTATGCTATAAAACAAACACAACACAAACCACCTGCGGGAGCTAAAACAAAAATTTTAGAACGTAACGTACACGAGGCCTTGCGCCTATGGCCATGCATAATGTAACGGCCAAAAGTCCATGATATCAGACTAAAATAGAAAATAAAAGTATAAATTCGGATTCTAGGACGGACAAATATAGACACTATAAAATCAACGATATGACACAGTCTATCAACCTAAAAATAATCACAGATAAAACGAACACAGAGGATTAAAATTCAAGTAGATAAAATGTCCTAATACGAAAGAAGACCTGCCAGAAAATAACTGTATTAATATACTGTGGAGTATAAACATTTTCCGAGCAGTGACTCTGTAAGGAGAGGCCGTTGCTAGGTAACGCCAGCAACATACACGCACGAAACAATAGAAGAATGGCGTTGTCTATGTGGTTCGCGTTGCGACGGTTGCTATGCTAAAAACTCGCCTCCTTTTATAAAATCCGAAGATTCGTACCGTGAAGAATATGACCATTTTCTAGGCAACGGCTGGGTAAACTCTACCTAAAAGCCGGAATATCAACAGAAGTGGAAGTCAATTTGTTAGGCAACGGCTCACTAGTTTCCGCTACAACGGACAACAGATCAAAACACGAACTGCTCGGTGTGGTGGCCACTATTCGCCCCCCCCCCCAAGTCATAAAAGAGAGTTCATTCGTGAATTCAAGAGATTCATCCGGAAGAGAATTCAGAAGGCAGTTCAGTAATTGAGTGCTCAGCTGCGGAGTGTTAACCGGCGGAGAACGGAAGCTGAACAAGTGGCCGATTCGTAAATCAGAACCAAGTCAGTCACAGTGGAAGAGAACCATTCGTAGTTCAGTAAGGAAAGGAGTGAGTTGTAGACAGTCATTGATTGTGTGCTGTTATAATTGACTGCAGTTGTAAAGAAGTGCCAATAAATCCAGTCACCTAATCCAGAACCCATCAGTAGTCACGCCAACCCCGAATACGTGACAGTACTGTTGGCGCGAGCCTGCAACTGGGCCATGTCATGAATCAGACTAATCCAGCCCACGTCATTACATCCCGTTTCTTTATGGTCCATTTTAATATTTTCCTTCTATCTACGCCTACGTCTTGCAAGTGGTCTCTTTACTTCAAGTTTTCTTACCAGTATTACGCATATATTTTTCATTATTTCCTTGCATACTTCACGCCCGGCCCACTTAATCCTCCGTAAATTTAATTATATTTAGTGATGAATAGCCGGTCACGGTTGCCGAGCGGTCTAGGGCACGCACTGTCTTCGGAAACCGGGATCGTGGCTTCGAATCCCACACAAGGCATGGATGTTCGGAGTGTGTATGCGTTTATTCTGTTTGTGTTGTCCTGCGTTTAGGTTGAGGCCTTGCGACGAGCTGATCACCCATCCAAGGAGTCCTACCGTCTGTAGAAATGATCACGAAACTGAGAAATCAGACCTGTGCTCCAAAGTGGGAGCGGGAGGAAAAAATTGATGAATATGAACTACAAGACAACGCTCTAATTACACAAACTTACTGGGCACAAAGGGCAATGGCTCACCTGTACCGAATAATCCCGGCATACAGGCTTGAAGGAGTTGGTGCCACAGATCAGCAGCTTCCCCGGCCCGGTGCGTACCAGAATACGGATGTAATTCTGACAGTTATCCTGCAACACAAACACATTTAATTAACAGAGTGGTTATTAAAACTTTACGTATGCACACGGCAACATCTGACAGAACGGAACCCATTATTCTTCCGCTTTTTTTACATAATTCCAAGAACTGACATTCAAACGAGGGTTCCGCGTTGAGAGCTACAGCACGGAACTTCCAATTATATTTAAAAATGTTGAGATTTCGGATTTAATTGTTCTGTATCCTGCAACCCTAAGATCGTTTGAAAATATTTCGTTCTACAAAAAAGGGATATAACACCGTGTAGTCCACTTAAAGTCAACCGATGTTTCGGAGTAACATTTCTGCTCCATCTTCAGGGCCAAAGACTAAAGAAACCAGGCATCACGCTAGTTTCTTGCTAGGCTTATTCTTATGCCCTCAAAATGGAAGTGACATGCTCCTCCGAAACGTCAGCTTATATTCAAAGCACTACATGGCTTTATACCCCTGAAGATAGAAGCCTAAATTTATATTATTCCTTCAACTTTATTCCACATAAAACAGTTCTGGAAGGCTGTGATGAATTCCTACCGAAAGTCAAGCTGAAACTGCTTAAAGGTAGAAATATCTGAGATCAGATTATTCAGATAGTGAAACTGTGTCCGTCAGCTGACCATTGCAAACATCTCGTTTTATAAAGTATGCTGGACAAGTAACATCACCTGCTACAAGCCGGAAGGTCGCGGGTTCGAGTCCCGATGAGGTGGATTATGTTATTTTTATTTATCTAATCCTTCCAGCCGCACTATGACCCTGGGGTCGACTGAGCCTCTAACTAAAATGAGTACCAGGAATCTTGCTGGGGGGTAAAGGGTGGCCAGCGCGTAAGGCTGACAAACTTACCGCCATCTGTGAGCCGACTGCCTAGAGGAAATGTGGAAGCCTGGACGTCTCACAACCCTATCGGCCTCCATAGCCTGTTACAGGGAAAGCTTGCCTTTTTTAAGTATGGACATTCTGTGTTTCCTTTATGTCAGAGGGTGGAAAGACGAAAGACGTCAAGATTCAGAAAAAGTTGAACTACCGTGAAAAGCGGGATCTGAAGTTCTCACATCGTGAAAATGAAGATTGCTGGTTCCTCGGATGTGAGATGTGCACCACGTATTCTGGTGATACGGAAAAGTCACACGCTGTCTCCTTCCTCAGTGTAAATAATGAGATAGAGACTGCAGGTTACTCCGAAACGTCTGCATATTTCTTAGAGACTACAAGGTTTCAATCCCTGAGGACGGTAATCCTCAACAGTTTAAGGTATTTTGAAATGGAAAACACATTTTCTAAATGCTCTTTTGCTACTTTATATTGGCCCGGTACCTCACAGCCAATTCACTGCATTATTACAAAGCCAATCACACTATCCATACCAGATTGCAGTGAGTCAGAAATTATTTTCGCTTGTATATCCGTCGTCAGTCTTGTATCGAGGAATATTTCAAGTAAAGTTCTGCAGGAGATGAAGAGAACAGAAGCAAAAGGACATAAGTAAATAACATTTCTATTTATACGTGTATTTGGCCCCATTCTCTAAGGATTGGAAATTTCATAATTTTCCATTCCACTTAATAACTCATTAATTTCAACCACTGCAGACTCTTAAACAGGTCTTCGCCTTAATATTAAGCAGTTCATTATTGGAAGTCTCTGTATCTTAGACGAAGGATTGTGATTGAGACAAAATTTACTTCAAGCAGAATGGATGTTTCGATTTGTGAAATCTGGTTTAGGAGACAACTGCAGCAGCTGCAGATACGGCAACACGATATCAGCAAGAGAGACACAGAAATGTTCCAAGTATAAACAGGTGTTAGAGACGCAACGAACCATCTGACCGAAACAGGTAACGGTTTCGTTTACAACGCATCGCAAAACTCACAGCGGTGCAATTCGAGTTTTCCAAGAGAATTAGGTAAAGGTGAAGCTGTCCATGTTCTTAACTAATTAAGCATTGTGTCATGAAGACGTATGGGGGAGCGGGTGTATGATCCACATTTTCTTGACCTCGGCACTAGCTGCAGGTGAGTGGTCAACTTCACGCCCCGGCCGTATACTCCGGGCTAATTGCAACCTATACCCATTGGACAGGAGGTTGGGTGAACCTCAGAGATGGTCTGGACGACGTGAACAAGAGAAAATTCTTGACCTTACCGGGACTCGAACTCCGAATCCTTGGCCGTCCAGCCCGTACGCAGTCGCTATCCCGGTTTCCAAGATAATTTCAAAAATAAATTAAAGAACCGAGGGGCCTGTGCAGGAATGCAGCATTTGAATTGGTCAGAGAAATGAACAGCTGCGTTGGGGAACTGCAAGTCGACCTGTCACATATCCGGGCCAAGTCTGAGAATGCAGAAAAAGAGTATGACGACCATTCCGAAGTAGGTCAAGTAGATATAAAAACGACGCATCGCAAAAAAAAATCAAACTTACAGAATTTTGAGTGGGAAATATTTTTAAAAGATTAAACAGAAAATACGGAACCGACGCAGTGGAAGTACGTACGTTTGTTAACAAAGTTAGGAAAACAATTCAGTGATTGTGTCTCAGAATCCGAAGGTACATTAAGCGGTTGGGTAGAGTGTAGTATAAAGGCCCGTCCACATTACTCGTGCTCGTGCGTCAGAAGCTTACTGCTGCCGGAAAATCAGGATCTGGAGCTGACGAAGTGGACACCCAAACTTGTTTGCATACAAAGCCTTCGCATTTCTTCACATCAGATATCAGCTCCAGATCCTGATTTTCCGGCAGCAGTAAGCTTCTGACGCACGAGCACGAGTAATGTGGACGGGCCTTTATACTACACTCTACCCAACCGCTTAATGTACCTTCGGATTCTGAGACACAATCACTGAATTGTTTTCCTAACTTTGTTAACAAACGTACGTACTTCCACTGCGTCGGTTCCGTATTTTCTGTTTAATCTTTTAAAAATATTTCCCACTCAAAATTCTGTAAGTTTGATTTTTTTCTGCGATGCGTCGTTTTTATATCTACTTGACCTACTTCGGAATGGTCGTCATACTCTTTTTCTGCATTCTCAGACTTGGCCCGGATATGTGACAGGTCGACTTGCAGTTCCCCAACGCAGCTGTTCATTTCTCTGACCAATTCAAATGCTGCATTCCTGCACAGGCCCCTCGNAAAAAAAACATGATTTAAACGTATAAAATATTTAAATAAATAAATATAAATAATATAAATATAAATAAAATTTATAAACATATAAAATATTTAAAGAAAGATTTTCCGACATAGAAAAACGTATCTCGTCTCTGAAAATAAAGTTCTGTAAAGAGACTTGATGAATGTACAAGAACGAATACAAAATGAGTGAACCGGAAGCGCATGACTGAAAGCGTGTACCGGAAACTAAGAAGGGATGAGGAGCGGATCTAATAAAGGAAGGTGTTTGAAGGGGGAGGATAATATTAAAATTGCGTATACATCCGCATGCAAGAGGAATCTGTATGCAGCAAATGGTCCAGCATAGATTACGATCCAGCATAAAAGAAAACAATAAACTATATTAATGTAATTAACATTACTGTAAAATGTTTATTTAGGAGATGAAAATTTAAGGAAGTCCCCATTTGAGGTTATGAAGAAATATAAATATAAAGCTCAAAAGTGATTAGACAAAAGATTAAAAGTAGTAACGACGGTAGTAGTAGTAGTAGTAGTAGTAGTAGTAGTAGTAGTAGTAGTAGTAGTAGTAGTAGTAGTAGTATTATAGTAGTAGTAGTAACTGTAATAAAGGTAAAGGTAAAATTGTCCCCGTGTTTAACTATTCAAGCACTAAGCCATGAAGGCGTATGAGGGAGTGGATGTATAGGTCCACATTTTCTTGATTTCTGTACTAGTTGGAAGTCAGTGGTCAGCTTTACGGTCCAGCCATTTTACCCTCAGGGAAAGAGCCACCGGTACCCATTGTATAGAAGGCTGGGTGGGTCCCAGAGGAGTTCTGGACGACGTAGGGAAAATTGTTGAACCTACCGGGACTCGAACTCCGACCCATCCCGGCTCAGAAGCAAAAGTAGTATTAGTAGTACAACAGACCTCATCGAACGTAATTATATAAAGAATCTGTGTACCTCAGGAGCCTGGTGTCTGGGGACACAGATCCCTGTAATGTAATGACACAACGCAAAGAAAACTGAACCCACTACACAGCAGCAGTGTGTACATGCAGAGGTACGCGAGCTGAAAGCGAAGTTGTAGTAGACTCATTGCAGCCCACAGAACTGTGCTTGTGATCCTGGAATGTCAATAGCAATTTTCGAGAAGCACTTCAAACCTGCGTTCCACTCACTTTCCATTTCAGAGGCGACCCTATCAACCGCTGTCACCTCTGCCGCAAGCTCTGTGTCAACCTTCTATTCGAGCGACCGACAGCTGCAGAGTGGAGATCATTCCAAGTTGATCTTAGTCAATGGCACATTCACTGTAAAGGGAGATTGGTAGCGCAACTGACTTCGCCTTGTCTGTGTGAATCGCACGCCATTTAACGACGCACTTTCAAATAACGTCAAACGAAACGAGAAATTAATCAAGAAGATGCAAAGCAGAGAACCCAAAGAGGACACGGCTGTGGCACGTTTCATACAGGACTCCGGAATTCTCCTTGAGACACTGGCGAAAGCTCTCAACAATAACAGCAGGGATTCGAAGCAGGTACGTACCGAATATAAAACTATAGAACATTATGTACGCGCCACTTCGGTCATCCAACCTGATTTCTGAACCTATTCTTAGGTTATTCAGCGGCGATTTATCAATAACATAGGTTACTACCATAGAAGCTGGGACAGCTCAGTCGGTATAACAAATAGCTACGGGCTGGACGACCGGGGTTTGATTCCCTGCAGGGGAAAGATATTTTTCCGCATTCTACAGCGCCAAAATCGGCTCTGGGGCCTACCCAGCCTCCTATGCAATAGGAACCGGAGGCTGTCTCCTCGGGGGTAAAGTGACGAGGGTGTGAAGGTAATCACTC